TATTATTATTATTATTATTATTATTATTATTATTATTATTATTATTATTATTATTAAATATTTATGTAATTGCAGTTTAAATATATACATAGACATGAAAGAATAGGTAATAACTTCAGGAAATATTACAATACTGTTGATGTCATTTTAAAACATGCAACATGACAACTACTGAATTTTCAGGAGGAAATGGAATGTTAAGTTCCAACTTAGATGGAAGAGAGTGCTTTCTATAGAGTTCTATTATCTTGCACTTCTTCAATTTCTCAGTGGTCCCTTTTCCTCACATGCCACAGACCGATTTGGGAGAAAAAATTGGATAAACTGTAAGATTCTTCAGAAATGGCAAATAATACATTAGGTTCTGAAACTTCTAATAAAAAAGATGCGAACTTCACAAAAATATTTTCTGAAATTTACTCAAAAGAACTGAAAATATAATGATACTCAGTTAAACAAACCTATAATCAAGTAATAAATGTAAAGGTTACTTACAGTTTTAATGTCCACAGTTACAATCCCTGAGTTTATATTGTGCCTTCGCAAATCAGATTTAATTAAAGCTAAAAGAGATAGTATTAAATATTAATTTAAATACATTTGCTGTAGTGATTTTTTTAAGTTTGTTTGTTACAGAATCCAACACATTAATGTCAGCAGTCTTCTTCAGAATATCTAATACTTTATTGCAATGTTTTTCAGCTATTTCTGAATGGAGAAATAGTTATATGGGTAAATACTAAAACACATTAATCAAAATTGCAAACCTAGAGACCAGGGAGAGAAGGTGATGGGTGTAGTGACATGGGGACTGAACAGCAGCCATTGCAGTGCAATGAAAGCAAATGCAATGCAGATAAGAAATATTCAAACTGATTGAACAACTAAATGAAAATATTTTCTGGAATTTATGTTATGCTGAGAATTCTCTCTACTCCACAACTGTTCATTTGTAGAAGATACTCCAGATACCTCCACTGTTTGATCCCCTTCGAGTTTGGGTGAAAGCTCAATTATTGCTAACTTCACAGAAGAAAATAATTTAAAGGCAATTATTACAGTAAGTTGCTTTATTCTTATTCAATATAACTTTTTATTCTTTCCAATGAAGACTCTATCTATCTATCTATCTATCTGTCTGTCTGTCTGTCTATCTATCTATCTATCATCTATCTATGTGATATGTAATATCATGACCAAAGCTTGTTGAAAGTATGCAGCAATATGACTTTTATATTCTATTCTATTATTAAATAAATCTAATTTATTGCCTTTGGGATCTACTACAATTCCTACAGATTCAACAAATATCTGTTGTGGAATATAGCCTGGATTCCCAGAAGGGAGAAGCTACAGTGAAGTTTAGACAGTTTGCTTGGGAGAAAGACGCTCAAAATAGCTCCTCCCTAGAAGTTCTCAGAGTATATCTTTAATGAGGTAGTAGTTGTTTTATTTGTGCAAGATTTCTGTCTATAGATGAGGAACAATAAAGGGAACTGCTTAGAAGTAATTCTGTGCCTTTAATGATTTGCAGAGCCTAGCAATATCTGAGTTTAGATATTTCTTAAAATGTATCACAATATATCAAAATACAATACCATATGTGAAGTGGAGGTTTGTTCTCCGAGTTTGTGGGTTGGTTTCTGAATGTTTCATTACCAGGCTAGATAACATCTTTAGGGGATCCCTAAACTCTGCTGAAGATGTTACCCAGCCGGTAAGGAAATGTTCAGAAACCAACCCACAAAGCTCGGAGAACGAAGCTCCACCCTCATCCTACACCTAAGCTACAGATATTCGCCACCTCTGCAATACTGTATAACTTAAAAAAGATCCTAATATTGATTTTTCTTAGATACTGTTCATAAATTATTGAGGAAAATCTTATGACTGGCCCACATGCTAGTCAACTTTTCAGTTTAGGCTTTAATCCGGGTTAAAATGATCACACATACTAATGAAAGAGGTTCATCAAAGATACAGGTAGTCGTCGACATGACCACAATTAAGACCAAAATTTCCATTGCCAAGCAAAACAGTTAAGTGCATTTTGCCCCATTTTACGACCTTGCTTGCCAGTGTTTAAATGAATCACATGGTTCTTAAGTTAGTAACATATTAAGTGTATTTGGCTTCCCTATTGACTTTGCCTGTCAGAAGATCGTAAAAAGTGATCACATAACCCCTGGACACTGTAATCTTCATAAATACATGCCAGTTGCCAAACATCTGAATTTTGATCAAGTGACCACAGGGTTGCTGCAATGATCATGTGAAATATTGTCATAAGTCACTTTTTTTAGTGCCATTGTAACTTTGAAGGGTCACTAAACAAATGCTTGTAAGTCCAGGACTATCTGAATAGAGACGCTCTATAAACAAAACAATAGGCAAAAGCCCACAGCCTGTTTAACCATTCTTGTTTCTTACTGCTGTTCCTCTGCTGTTAACGTATTTAAAATGTTTATAATTTTTTTATTTGCTTTACTCTTATGTTACATTGTGTTTTTATTCTTGTAAGATATGTGGTATGTTTTCTGGTAATAAAAGGAGTTTTACAGTTTCAAATAAACAAAGATGACTTAAGCCTTTGGACAGACTTCATATTCACTATTTTTCTATTAAGAACAAAAACATAATTTAAGATAATGTTAAGTGGTTACCTGTTAAAATGATACCTATAAACATCCACACAAAGAGAAAAATATTTCCAGCACGAGCACTGTAATCTGTTGTAAGCTTCCCTTGGATCAATGTAAAGATGATCCCAAATATCTGTAATTGTTTATAAGAACATATTTCAGAATTTAACTTTGCCAGTTCTGCTCAAGTTGCCTGAACTCTGCTAGTTTTATTTCCTACTATGCCCCATAAGTAGGGTTTTGTTTACACACTACTTTCAGAAAAGAACAGCATGTTCTCAAAAATGTACTACTCATGGCCTGCAAATTTGTTTAATTGTGGGGGGAAATAAACCCATCCCAGAATTACCCTGCCATTCCAATGGAAAACAGCTTATTCAAGAAAAGTATTGTTTCAGATTACAAGCATAGACAGAGATATGAGAAAAAATAGTTAGAATGGACTGGGTAGCCATGATTACATTTCTGCATAGTGCCAATGTAAATTCAGCAAAGGACAAGGAGTTTTTTTGAGATTATTGTAATGCAATTTTTACAACATATATATATTTTCAGTAGAGATGCTGCAAAGTTTAGGAAAGCTCTGTATAATCTCTATGATCTACAAAGCTTTCTAAAAGTCATTTCCTTAATCTTTGCTACTTATCTATTTATCAAAACAATATTACTGATATGATAGTTATCTGAGCTCAAAACTCCAAGACTCTAATAAAACATTCCTTATCACCTGTGCTGAAGCATTCAAAAGCCCTGATGAGGTGCCTTCTGACTCCGGGTATGTAATTTCCACAGCAAATTCAAAACCAAGGGGCAGATAACCTGTCATAAAGAAACTGACATAAAAAGCCAAAGTTCAAATTAGTAATAATTCCTACTATTTATATCAAAATTAATTGTTCTTCAGTTTTTATTACTATTAGGGCAACCTACAATGAATTTTCTAGCTTACTCCAATAATTTGAACATCCAGTTATAAAATTCCACCTCTGATGAAAATATATTCCACTAGAAAGTTAGCAGTTTACTATCAGTTTAAACACATAACAAAAAATAAATTTAATGTTCCTGAATTAGCATTGCAGTTTATTTTATTGCAAAAATCCTTACCCAAGTACTCCAGCAGTCACAAATATAACTATAAGGTATCCACAGTTCAAGGTGAATGTAAATACGACCATCCCAACAAAAGAGAGGATGTATACAACTAATGTAGTCTGCCTATAGAAAAAAAAAATCACAAATTATTTTTGCTGTTATTTCGTAACACAGAGCTCAAATAAAAATGTACATTTTCAGTGGCAATCTGTCTCTGCTTTCTTTTGCCACCTAACAGAGTAGATGTAGTCCTTGGATTACAATGGTAATTGGGACTGAAATTTCTATTGTAAACATTTATGACGTGGTCTAAAGCGTGACATTGGGTGACTGCATTGCTTAGCAACAGCAATCCTGACAATTCCTGTGCCATCATTAAGTGAAGATTGCAGATTGTTAAGCAAGGACCTCATGTGACCACAGCTTGCAATTGCTCACTGGCTTCTAACAAGCAAAATCATTGAGAAGCCAGCAGGAAATTTCAAATCCTGATCACAACAAGCCTTTCTTTAGGTAGCTAGCAAGCAGGCCGGCAGGCCAGTGAGTTGTATGGAGTATGGACAGGCTGCAATGCAGATGGGAGATAGAGGCATGGTGTGAGTGCAGGTAAGGAAGGGGGATTTTACAGCCTGGCATGAGTTTGAGCAGCCATCACTTGCCCTGCCACCTAGGGGCACCTTGGGACTAAAAGCAGGAGCAAGAGCAACTTACCAAAACAACTTGTGACCTCCTGCTGGTTTCCCCATTGACCTTGTTTGTGGAAGCAGGCAGGAAAGCTCACAAATGGTGATGGGATGCTGCAACACTCATAAATGCATGCCAGCTGACAACAAGCATCCAAATCACAATTATGTGGTTGTAGGAACACTGCAATGCCACAACTTTGATGACTGATCATCACACACCCCTCGTTTAACGCCATCATAATTTTGAAAAGTCATTGAAGTTGTAACCTGAGGACTAACTTTATCTATTTTAAAATTTGTGAAAACAGGTTTCTCAGATTTCAAGATTCAAAAGGTGCTTATTACTTTAAAACTACAACAATCTGGAGAAACACAGGCAGTACAGATATGTAGTATGGACTTTAGGACACCCAGACCATTGCCACCTGAAACAGTCTTACTCTTAACAGTTTTAAATTTCTGTATACATGACCTGATTTTAAAGAACGACAAAATGCTTTAAAATAGTATATGTAGCAAAATGTCTACAACTCTGACATTATCAATGGGAGTGTCAAGCAATCTTCTCTCATCTTTTCCATTTCTTCTGTTGCGTGCTTTTTCGCACAAAGATCCTGACATTGATAAAACCAGAGATTCCACTTAGAACTAAACCAAGAAATTCTGGTCCTTTGCCAAAAAACAAAAAATGAGCTATGAATTCTAGCCAGAAGCTTCCCAAAAAATAGTGAAACATAATTCTCTCTGGCACATACACAAACACGTTTAGCTAATTAACAAAAGACAGAATTATGCTCCAGTATTTTTTGTAAGCAGTCTTTTGACCTCTGTTAAGCTACTCAACCATATTATAACTACAGTATAATATATGAATTTAAAAATTTGCTATTCCTATTCATATACTTACTTGTATGTCTTGGTATGATCCAGCCACAAGCCGCAGATAATAGAGCCAACCATTCCAGCTACCACAAGTGTGAGGCCAATCCTACCTGCATTTATTTCTTCTCCCTTTATGTAATATAATTATGAAATTACATAATTATGCAATGAATAAGCAAGTTCACACTAATTCACTTTTTCAAAAAAGTCAATCTATAAAAAATTAGTAAAGTATATCAATCATTTCTGTAGGCAAACACCAAGCATAAGTAAGTTCAAAGTATGGCAACAATAAAAGAAATATTGTAGTCTGGGACACTATCTATGCATAGCCATAATTTTAGTTTATAGCCCATTCTCAACCAATATAAATAGGAATGTCTTCCAATTGTAAAAGAAATATAATATTAAACAAAGATTATTCTATTACCAATTTTTTATTAAAACAAGTATTTATAAAAAAAATAAGGAAATAGATGCAACCTAAGTCTACAAAACTGCAGCATTTTTAGATAGTACTTTCAAAGATCTGAAGATGAAATGCTCATTTTTTTATGATTCTCAGTTTGACAAGCCCATCTTTTGTTCCTTTTACAAATTTCTTCCTTCTTTTTATCTGAGATAATAATGAAATAATCCATAACCAGATAGTGTATCAATCTATTATTCTTTTACCTAATGACAGAACTCCCACATCCTATATGCCTAACTACTGTACAAATCAGAATTGGTAATGACAAAACCACAGAGAAGACGCAGTCAAACTATTCTCCAAAGCACCTAAATGCAGGACAAGTAGCAATGGATGGAAACTAACCAAAGAGAAAAGCAACCTAGAACTAAGGAGAAATGATCTGACAGTTACAACAATTAATCAGTGGAACAACCTGCCTCCAGAAGCTATGGATGTTCCAACACTGGAAGTTTTTAAGAAGAGACTGGACAGCCATTTGTCTGAAATGGTATAGAGTTTCCTGCCTGAACAGGGGGTTGGACTAGATGACCTCCAAGGTCCCTTCCAACTTTTATTATTTTATTGTTATTGTTATTATTATTAAACAAACAGGGCACTGATTTTGGTTTAGCAAGAAATTCTATAGAAACTTACCTTATAGTGAGCCAATATCATTTGGTTTAGTAGAGTTGAGATTGAATAAAAGGCTCCAGTCATAATTCCTACAAAAAAATTATTGCCATTGTTACAGAAATTAAATAAAGCCAAACTCATAAAACAAGGAACAAGTTACTCTTCAGCAGACTGAGTTACCTGAAAAGGAAATGAAAACTGGGAGGCCAGAATATCTTTTTGCCCTGCATGGGCTCATCTCCTGCTTGCCATTAAGACAGGCACAGAAGCACTGCACAGCACAGTGAAAGGGAGATACCCAAAGAGTTAATGAACTATGGGAAGGGCTGTGAACAAGTAGAAGTGAAATCTAAATTCCGTTTATCATTTTTGTCATAGGCAAAATCTGTGAAAAAACATCACTTAAAAAAGTAGGCTTCAAATGGCCTTATGGCTACATGGCCTTAGGCTCAAGAGTCTAATGCCCCAACACTTTTGTCATCTCTAGTTTCACATTACCCACCAGCTCCTCAGTAAATCTTTGCCTGGGGTTCTATGAATCAAGGGTCAAAAGAGAGGAGGCATGGAATGACTGTCAAAAGATCTACAATATTCCAAATTCTACAGAATAGTGACAGTCCCCATTTTCATACGAGAGGACTGTATACACCTCCATCATTGCACATTTATGGGTCATTCTTATGGCTCACTTGCTCCTTCACCAGCAAAAGCCCAAAGGTATCGGAACAAACCTCAGAATTTACATTATGTTCTAAGCTGCAAATGCTACTGCTGTCTCAGTATGAATGGCAGAATCACAACAACCTATTGAAGTTTCTTGAAAAATGCTACAAATCTTCATCCAGGAAGCAATTTTCCTACTTGTGTCTTTTAGTGCCACAAATATTTAAGTAATTGTAGACATTATATTTCAAAATCCATTATCTTATTTTGGAACAATGAAACATATACCACAGAATTAAAAAGTTCAACAATAAATACAGGTTCAGAATAGAATGTATAGCAGTGTACATGTTTACATTGAATAATAGTTGAATAACAGAATTAACTACATGTGCATATTTAATATTCATGTTCCTATCATGAATATTAATAATTTAAAATTTTTATATAAGAATTTATAATAGTAATTACATAACTCAATAGGGAGATAGATGGTATATCAATTTAACAAATATATCTTAGCAAATAAATAAGTAAAAGAAGGGAGCCAGGTTATAAAAACAATACAATATTTAGTACACACATCTTTAAATAAGTTAAATAAATGCTCACCATAGCTTATCAACAAAAGCATAAAAGGAACGTTCCTGAACAAATTGAGTATTGATTGTTTATAGGAGTGATCTTTTGGAGATGGATCCAGGAGAACAGCCTGAGACTGACTTGGAGGATATTTCGGTTTTTCCTTAAACACTAGGGAGAAAACAAAAACATTAAATATATAACATTTTCTCTTTGATGGAATGGTTTTACATGCACCTTCATATATAATAAATTATCAATATAATAAGGAAGCGTATTCATATGTTTCCATAAAGGCATAGATACTGGGATAACTAGAACCTTCAGTCACTATAAAACCTGAAAGTCGATGTGTTAGGAGAAGTACAGGTAGTCCTTGACTTACAATAGTTTGTTTAATGACTGTTCAAAGTTACAACAGCACTGAAAAAAGTGACTGAGTTTTTCACACTTATGACTGTTGCAGCATCCCCATGGTCATGCGATCAAATTTCGGCTGCTTGGCAACTGACCCATATTAATGACGGTTGCAGTGTCCTGGGGTCATGTGATCACCTACTGAGACCTTCGGACAAGCAAAATCAATGGTGAAGCCAGATTCACGTAATAACCGTATTACTAACTTAAGAACTGCAGCGATTCATTTAACAAGCAAGCGGTCATAAAGAGGGCAAAACTCATTTCGCAACTGTCTCACTTAGCAACTGAAATTTTGGCTCAATTGTGGTTGTAAGTCGAGGACTATCTGTAGGTATCACAGAACTAATTCCACTTTTTCCTATATAATGAGCAAAGGATCTTTATCCACAAAGATTCCTTTTCCAACTAAGAGGTTCCTAAAACTCTGATGCACATGGTCATCCTCTTCAACAAAGAATACTGAACTACTCCCCTCCTTGAAAGTAGAACTTAACCCTTTTAAGACAAAAAGAATTTATAATAAAGACAGAAGCTGCAGCATGGAACCTTTTATGAAGAAGTTTACTTACTAGAATTTAACATTTATTTTTCCAATTTTGATTGTCAGATGCTCACATACCATGCATTCTAATGATCATTTGAAACCTGAGAATATAGCGTGTCACTTCATTGTCCTGAATTTGCCAAAGCTCAGCAAAGGAACAGCACACCATAGTTGTTATATTATTCTATACTTCTACTGATAGAACTACCGTGACCAGCAGCAACATTAATGCCATATTGTGTTTCCGCAGCTAGGACCAGTTTTTTTCTTCATTACTATCAAGTACAATCTTTTTTTTTTTTTTTGCTTGAGATTTCCTCCTTCCTTATCAAGTGTTGCAATTTCTTATATTCATAGGATCTCTGATTTTGCAATCCTTCCTTGGTTACTGTATTATTTTCCTTTGTATATCTTAACTCCATAATTCTTCTAGTCATTGTTTTTTTTAGCACAATTCTGGTAATTCTTCTTTTACTTTTCCTTCAATTTGCTTCTTAGTCCTCTTAACCTAAAACGTAGACATCCCATTATACTTTTTCTTACTATCTTCTTATAGGTACGCTATAATTTGTAATTACAGCTAATTCTAGGAAAAATAAACCAAAAAGTTATGTATAATACATTGACATAGTTTTTGTATTATTATTATGGTTAATCTTCAATTCGATTCCCAGTCTGGGACTGATAAAAATTTAACAGTGCAAGCCCTAACCAAGGACGTAAGAGCTGTTAAGGTAGCATCTGAGTATATAGTTCTGAGTAAGGTGGTTTTTTGCAAAGTCAAGATATTCAGATCTAATAAGTTCAAAATGTCCATGTATCTAGGCAGCCCTTTGGGTATTGCTCTAAGGACTCCTATTACTATTGGTACAACCACTGATTTCTTCCTCCATTATCACTCAACTTCAATTTGCAAATTATTATTATTATACTGAAATGTTTTACATACCAAGCGCTGTTAATAAAAAGAGGAAAGTAGATACTCCTGCTGTGCCATAGAACATTATGCTGATATTGTGTCCCATAAGATCCAGGTCATTATGTGTGTTTGGAACTAAAACTGGAGGCAGTAAAAAGCCAATTGCTGTGCCTAGCTATTAAAATAAAAAGAAAATTGTGTTATAATATACCTGAAAACATAGGAAACTTATTAGACTAGGATAAGGCCAATCTAGCCAACAGTGTATCATACAACAGTCTAAAATGCATTCAAATGCACAGTCATAAACAGTAAGGCCTTGATTCACTTTCTCCCCAAGAGCTTCTATTTAAACTCTCACATCTAAGCCTCTGGGAGTGGTAGGTATGTGCAACCATTAAAAATTAAAGATATGAACAGATCAACTCTCCCCAACCTAATTCCCCTTTAAAACAACCTAGATTTGCAACCATCACCATATCTAATTATGCATTACATGACATGTTTTCTTTAGCATTTTTGTTTTATAATGAATGACCAACAGTTCTGACACTGAGAGGAAAAAAACTTTATTGCCCACATTTTCCATCATACATGTTTTACACCTCTTTATAAACCTTCTTTCTCTGCCTTTAAGAAAAAAAGCTTTAAATATTGTGGTATCATCTAACAGAAAAATAAATATAATCACCTAATCATTTGAGTTACTCCTTTTCCAGTTTTATGATACACAGCACAGTCACATTATAAAAGAATTATTATCCTTCCTTCCTATTCATTTCTAGAATACAATATTATAGCAGGTACCCCATTGAACTATCCCAGAGACTGATTTGCACATTTCAACATGAAAATTGTCTATTTTCTCTGCTTCCTTATCTTTTAACCAATAACAAGTTCTTGAAAAGTTGAATACTCTTAACACTCCTACGGTATGGTATGGCTGTTATAGTTGTTCAGGAGTGTTTGGTAAAGGACTGCATGAAAGGTCTTTTTGAAATCCAAACATATTTTCTGTTGGATTTCTATCAGCACACTTGGTGATACTTAGTAACAGTATTAGTAATTACATCAACCTGAAAGTTTCTATCACAAGCAAAGAAAATGGAAAAAAAACATTGCTTTTTCATCAGGAAGTCAACAATTAGTAACAGTTCTAATATTTAAATGACGTGATTTTTCTGGATTAGAGAACTATATTTAGAATGCACAAATGTTACAATACTTTTTATAATCATATTTTCCTAACTGTTGATTGTCTGAATATTGAAATATCAAAACTCTGGCAGAAAATATTTTCTTTTAAATACGCTCATATTTCTAGATTATTAGTTCTGTAATTATTAGAAGGCTATAACCGAAGAAGAAAACTTAGATTATAATGCCTTACTGACATCACAGCACCAGACAGAAGATACATGTCTAATTAGCAAGGATTTGAATTAAATATATGAAAGCTTAATTAGTCAATTGTAAATGTCCTTGGTTATTCCAGAGCAAATTGCTTCAATCATCAATGCCAACACGGTTGTGTGTGATCAGTGCTCATCTATTAAGAATGGAAGCAATTTTTTTTCTTAAATCCAAATGTACTTATTTTAATTTTTCTCACTAAAGTTATCCATCAACATCCCTATCTCATGCATCTCTTCCAGCAAATTTTCTCCTTTCTCCACTCACCTGATTGCCCAGAACAGCTACAGCACAAGCAGTGGACACTTCCTTGGGCCCAAACCAAACAGACGCAATGTGGGAGGGCAACCCCAAAATGAAGACCTGGGCTATGGAACACACAATCTGAGCCAGCAGAGTGACCAGATAGAGATTTGGCTGGATGCTGGCACATTTAATCCAGGCCCCCAAACAATTCAGTCCTGATCCCAGCAAGGCAGTGAAACGGAGGCCACTCGTGTCCAGAAACCAAGTGGCAGGAAAGATGAGAGGAACGTAGGTCACCATATACGACATGGAGAGCCAGTCAATTTCAGAAGAAGTAACATTATAGTAGCCAGTGAAGACACTGGTCAATATACTGTACTGGATCCACTGGAAGGCATTTACTAGCGAATAGCAGCTGAACACGGCCAGCACCACAATCCTGCGTTTGGAAAGCCGGGGGATCAGCTTCACCCCCACGGTACAGTCAGACAGCATAGCTTCTGCCTCTGGATACTTCTCGAGATCAGCCAAGGAAGCGGCGCTTCTTCCAAACTCCACATCCTTCTCGGTTACCAAAGGCGTGCAGCTGCCGCTGTTGGCCGGCTCTTTGCCGGCCAGGTATCCATTGCACTGGAGGGCAGGCACCGTGGCTTCCTCCCCAACCTCGCCGCTGGCCTCGCTGCTTCCCCCGGGCTCGGCCACCTCCGTCCCCTCCCCACCCATTCTCGCTGCCTGACCCGAGGCCTTCGCCCCGCCCAAGCCTACCTGTCGGCGGACCTCTGCTAGGAGCCTCCCCGTCTACCGCAAGCAGAAGCGCTACGCGCGCTCCCCGCTTTCTTTCCGCCTCCCCAGGCAAGTGTGCACGCGGCCACTTCCAGCCTGCCTTCTTTGGTGCTGGCCGAGCGCTTCCCGCCCGGCCTTCGCTGCGGGGATGCTTCGCTTGCTCTCCTCCGCGCGCCTCGCCTTTAGCTCTCACTTCTCCTCTCTGCCTCCAAGTCCAAGACTGGCTGAGCTCCGGCCTCGTTTCCTCCAACCCGGCCTCGTCCTCCCCCCCCCTCCCCTCACCCGCCAACGGTCATCCCAGAAACTCCAGGCAGAGATTGAATAAAGACCGCATCTCCGCCCGAGCGCCTCGAGTCAGCGAAGATGCGATGCCGGCTTCCGCATGCGCACACAATTTCCTCTCTGATCGGGAGACGGTCCAAGGAAAAGGTTCTAAGCCAATAAGGGGACGGAGAGGTACTTGCGCTGCCGCCGGCTCCGCCAATCCTGGAGAAACGAGGCGGGGCTGGGTCCAACGCCCAAACGCTCCCTGGTTTCCCGGCCCCGGTTAAGGAACCGGGGTGAGTGCGGTGCGTCTGGTTCGCCCTGCGGCCACGTGGAAAGGGTTGGCGTGGCAGCTGGTCCGGGTTCTCGTTTGGGGAGACTCCCCTTTCACAGATTGCTGCATCGGGCTTCTAATCCTCAGACGGAACGCGTGGGGTATTAGGGGAGGGGGCGGCCGGAGTAGCTATATATGCGCCTCTCGTTCGTAGCAGCCTTCCGAGTTTCGATGGCGGATTGCTCTTAAAAAAAGGTTCCTAAACCGCTTCTGGAAAATTAGGAGGAGGATAGTTGGACTGGGGAAAAGCTGATGGAGATCCACACCCAGTTTTCTCCACGTTACGGTTAGACCTCGGCTTTTCTCGCCTCGTGTAAAAACAGCTGTTTCTTGCAGCCACCTTCCCCGATTTATCGTAGGAAAATTGTTGGACTACAATGTCTAGCAATCTAAACCAGATCAGGGTATTGCAGACACTGGGGGGGGGGGGAATGTCCAATTTATAGAGACAGCACGCCACAGAAGAGCATCTGAAAGATAACAACACGTCTGGACTGGAATGCTTCAGGTTGAGAAAACGCTTATCGGGTTGGGAATCATTTTTAGGGGCTGATAAACAGCTTTATAGCCTTCAGTAGAGGCAATGGGGTAAGAAGGAATTGATAGTGAATGGGTTCTTGCACCTCTCTGAGCTTCGTTGCTTTCTGCAGACGTTTCATTACCTGGCTAGGTAACGTCATTGTTAAGGAGAGGGGTTTGCTGGCTGAGCTCAGAGAGCACCACAAACCACTAGCCATCAGTTCCTGAGATGGCAGAAAACGTATAAGTTCCAGTCTGATTTGCTGATCCCGAAACTATAGCAAACTCCTCCATTTTGCTTTCCTGCCAGCTGGGGTGTATGTTGTATATAGAGTAAAGTAATTGGTTAAATTCCTTGGCTATATTGCCCTCCCACTTTCTAAATATCACCAACCAACAGGAACACTGCGGAGAACAGAGATGCAATTTATATGCAGGTTTTCATAGATGCTGATTCACCTCTCTGTTTCTTTGTGGGTCAAAACAAAGTACAAAGATAGAGCAGAAGTGGCAAAAATAAGGCAGGAAAGCTGCCTCTCTCAAAACTCAGCACTCCCTGTTTCCCTATTGTTAGCAGTATTGCAGGACCTGCATGATAAGTGGGAAAGCTTTGCTTGTGTGGCTCCCCCAGCCTAACCAAAAGCTATTTGGCAGACTGTAGGGAGCTATGGGGTGCAGCCACAGCTGGTTGTTTTGTTAGCTCACCTTATCTGGAGCAAAAGAAGTTTGGTAGAAAAGTGGGTGCACTACTTACGGAAAAGGATGTGCCAATAGGAGTGGATTGATCCCCTTCCCCAAAGCTCAGTTGAAAATATTCCATAAACTGATCTGTGGATTTCTGCTAGTTTTGCTTTGTTTTGTTTTGGGTGGGGACACTTATTTAAAACCAGAACAACTGACAAGTTTCTTTCAATCATGAGCTAAGAATGAGATAAAGGCAATATCACAGGGACATGGCTGAATAAAGATATTGCCAGGACATATTCATTTCTTGGCTAGTTGCAAATGATCTCCCTGATGTTATTTCATTTGTCTGCTGAAGTTTCTTGTCTTTGTGTCTTGTGATAACATACGATAGGTTATTTGCTTTATTGTGCCATGTATAATTCAACTTACCAACAATTGATTAAAATAGTTAGATCCCTGTGTACTGGTTTAGCTGTGATTTGAATTGCCAGTTGCCAAGCACTTCTGGAATCTTCTAAGGTTCTTAGTTGAGAGTGGCCATTTCTCAACAGATATTTAAAACTTGGGAACTTCATTTCAGCAAAAATCGCAGTTCTGCAGAGCATAGGTACGTGTCAGTGAGCATGTGGATTAGAAAGATCAAGGAATCACTGTTTATTTGGATTTCAAAAGGCTAATGATGTCTCTCATCAAAGACTTTTAAGCAAACTTCCTCTTTTGTTAAAGAACAAAAGTCTGAAAGTAAAAAAATGTCATTTCAATGGATAGAACTATACAAATAGTGGGAGCCGAGTGGGCCAATGTACAATATGTTAAATTACTGATTAGTGAGTTGAAGTTAATATGAAGCTTGGGCTCTAGAGTAATGAGGACCAATAAAAAGTTCTTCAGCAATTTTAACACTTTAAATAATGTAAATAGTTTAAATGGTTAAACTATTAAACGCAGTGCTGCCAGGTGTATAAAAGACACTGGCTTATACTTTAAAAAGACAGTAGACAGATTCATGAAGGATGAATTTCATGAAATTCATGAAGGTGTGAATTTCAATGTGTAGCCCTTTGTTCTTTAAGGAGGGGAGTATAAAAACTGAAGTCTAATCACACCCTCCTCGTTCAGAATTGCCTATCTCTAATATGCTCTGGACCTTGCGCAATTAAACTTCTCTGCTAACCCCTCCGGAATTCGTAAGAGTTCTTTCGTTTTCCACAAGAACTGTAATGGCTAGTAGTCTTGATGCTAATATGAGTTGCTAGGGGAGGCACCAGCAATTACAGTGTTTCTAACTTACAGTTGAAGTTATCAGTAGTTTCAATCAATATTAGAGTAAACAAGCTGCAATAGTGTTGCCCATAAAACCATAAGCAACAAGGGTATGTGATAATGATCTTGAGAGACCAGGAGGAAGAGCCCCCAACAAGGATCAGTTAACAAAACAAGTCAGAAGGAAGAGGGGTGGTGAAAGCATTCCTAGTTTTCTGGAGAGTGAAAGGGAGGGGTACTTTGAGACTTGCAAGCTTGATGTTAGCCTTGCAAGGTATCCAAACAAGAAGCACAACGAGTTGTACTAGTTCTACCTTTATTGTGAAGTTAACAAAATCTTGTGAGTCTGAAAGTACTTCCATCCTTAAAGGGGGTATTAGTTACTTCTGGCATGTCTAGGCAGAAGCCATGTTTTTTAGTTCTTTACTTTTCAAGTTCTTTGTACTTTTGAAAAATAATAGCCTATAGTTCTGGAGATGGCAACCTCAGATACAAAATAGGAGCTTAAAATTACACAAATATTTTAAGCCATTGGATTTATATTACAAAATGGTATCTCACAACTTCTGAAGTTGAGGATGAGGGGTTTGCACCCATTGTATTAGAAATGCCCCTCTAAACTTTATAATATAATATAATCAATTATATTTTAAATTAATGTCTGATCATTTCCCTATAGTCCTTCAATATGTTGGAGTATGAAAGACTATTAAAGAGCTTTTATTATAATTTGCTCATGTAAAAAAATTACAGTGGTGTGAATTCTCTTTTGCAAGAGGGAAAAAACAGATTTATCACGTTTATTCCTTGACCAGGAAAAAGGTCAGGACTTGCATTTCCAGGCAAGAGGTTTATAATCAAAATCTCATAACTGTCAATGTCTCTAGAAATAAAGCAGTAGTCTATATACAATATATATTCCAGATCAGATTACTCTCACACAATTTTTTCAACAATTTTCAAAGAAAAAATTAATTACATTGTTGACAGGCATCTGTCTAAATATGCCTTTATTTGACAAGACAGGAAAAGAGGTAGTCTACACCCTTCAGAATATTTTCCAAAGAGGGTACATGTCCCCTAAATTAGCAAAATCCTCTAAAGGAACCTTAGTTTAGAGCATTACAGCATTTATCACTCTCAGGCGACTATCCTGAAAAGTGAACTCTGGAGAAATTTTATAAGTAGTTGAAATACCAACTGGAACACGGACTTTTCGGCTGATGTTCTGCAGAACTACAGTTGTACTTATTCCTAGCACTGTAAATCTGTCTAATGAACAGGATGTATAAGTAAGAATCTACTAATAGGAAAAACTGAACACAAGACGAAGGAGAAAGATCTTATCATGAGAAGTCACATTAGAGTATGCAGAAGGGGAGATTTGAAAAGGGCCACCAGGATACCTGCATGAAGGAAATATTCATAACCATAGATTGGGGGCAAGGGGTGAAAGAGTGGTATATAGATTTAAAAACTATGCAGATGAACTATATGTGATTCTACCCTGAAGAATTCCAAAGGGACCTTGCTGACCAAGCAGATGTAGGTAGAATTGAAAAAGTGCTAACAAAAAAATAGGGCAGAGGAAATGTGGGCCAATTCTAGTCAAATGAATTGGCTGACCAGATAATTTCAATAGCTGATTTAAGAGGATTAGTGCAGCATCTTTGATGTAATGGGGTTTTATATTACCCTATCCCACAATATTTTTGTGGTTTACTCCAAAACCAAACTTCTACTATTCAATTAATGGGTATCCTGAATCTTCTAGATCTTGGGAAGTAGAACTACCATCTCCTGATCTTGTTTCTATTTATGTCTAACTTTTTAATTGTTTTTGAAGAATGTTTTAATGTTTTTTTGCACACCATGCGGTCATGTTTCTGATATGTGGCCATATATATTTGATAAATAAACAAATACCCATCCAACTGAAACACATGAACTTCTTCCCTACAAGAAAGGATTTGGGACATCTTAGCTTGGAAAATAGGCAACGGAGTTAGAAAGTTCTTGAGAGGTATAAAACCATGCATGATGAATAAAATGAACTTTTGTTCCTCTCTCACATAATGATGATGTTGGGTCATCCAATGAAGCTGACTAGGGGGAGATTCAAAACAGTAAAAAGAATGTGCTTTTGGGGGGCAAAGCACATTCTTTAACTGAGGAATTAATTACCACAAAAACCTGGTAATATCTGTTACATTAGATCAGGGGTTCTCAACCTTGGCAACTTTTAAGACTTGTGGTCTTCAACTTCCAGAATTCCTCAGCCAGCTTTGCTGGCTGAGGAATTCTGGGAATTGAAGTCCACAAGTCTTAAAGTTGCCAAGGTTGAGAACCCCTGCATTAGATAGCTTTAACAAATTGGATAAATACATGCAGGACAGATCTGTCAAAGGCTATTGGGTTTGAAAATCCAAGACTAGTTGAGGGTGATATTGATATTATATCTCCATCTTCTCAGAGGCATCTAGTTGGTTACTATGAAAAACAACATGCAGGACTAAAATCAGCTTTGGCCTCATCCAGTAGGGCCATTGTAGTGTCCTAATGTTGTTAGAAGTGGATTTCAGGATGATTAGTATGTGAATTGTCCGCGTTGGAAAAGAATATTTTTCTCCTCAGAGATCAACTGCATCATCTTTTCTAGCAAGTATATATCAAGCTTCATTTCTATAAGAACAGATCAGTATTGCCTGTTTTCAGTGATAAAAAGTATTAAGCAAATGAGGCCTGAGTTTTTTGTATTATGTGCATTTTGTTTTAAAAAACAGGAATTTGTGTCACAGTAACTAGAAGAAGCACATTTCACTATCATGGCTGAAGATGAGAAAAGGCAGTTGCTTGAATATAATCAGATGAGGGAATCGAGATGCTTGCTAGAAGGAAAGAGTGAAACTTCGTGGCTCAGGCCCCAGAAAAAGCATTTTCCTCAAAGTAATCAGGCTTCAGCAGAGAACTACAAAGAAGAAAAAAAGGAGGATGACAGTGGCAGGACATCCTGGATAAAAATAACTCCTTCTGATCATAAAGAAAAAAGGCATTTTCCTGAAAAAAGTAAGTTTGCATATATTGCACTTCCAATATTGAACGTCACACATCTGTAATTTTTTCTTAAAATTAAGAGGAAGAATTCAGTTGTGGTGAGTCCATCTATTGCTGCAAACTAAAAAAAATTATCGGTCCAGATATTTTAGTATATTGAGTGTGTGTGTTATTATGTATGTTTGTATGTATGTACTTACATCACTTCAGCTTTTGTTGTTAAGCAAATCAGCATGGGTCCTTAAGTGAGATATCACATGATCACAACTTCAATTTTACTGCTGACTTCTCCATTTATTCTGCTTGTTTGGAAGCTGGTTATGAAGCACACAAATGTCAATCATGTAACCAGGGGGACACTGATGGCCATAAATGTGAGGATTGGTTGCAAAACCTTTTTTTCCAAATGTAACTTTGAACAGTTGCTAAACAAGGAAGTTGGTAAGCGAGGATTACCTATATGTACAGTACATACAATCAAACCCAGGTGTATGTTAAGTATCTTGAGACAGCTCTCTGAAAAGCATTTTCTAAAGATCATATACTTTTCCTGTTTCACTGAAAGGCTAAGATCTCTAGGTATAGACATCCTTTTCCTTCTAAAAACAATCAGAAAACATTTTAAATTATACTTCCTTTTTCTTCCCAACAGATGTAATGGTGAGAATACAGGGAGATTAAAGATGACATTAGACCTAATGAAGCTCTGTAAACAAATTCCAGGTTGATTGCATGATTAAAAGCTTCCTCCCCAAATGCTTGTAGCATACATTAATGTTTCTATTGTTTCTCTGGTTGAAAGGAGAAAATAAGGGCAAATTATCTTCCCCAGTTATTGCCTTGGAGTTCTTGCAACATAAATGGCATATACAAGTTTATAATCAAGTTTATAAACCTTGCATCTTGACCATTTATCTGCAGTTTGCCCCAGCAGATGTGTCAGAAAACATGTTTTCTGGGTAGAGAACTATATATGATTTAATAAATAATTTTGGATGTAGAAATATATAATTTAAGGATACATAGAGGTCTCTCCATATCAGTGTTAACTTAATAGGATCTAACAGGCACTGTTCTCTATCACACCTGCCCCTGATTATCTCCTAAGGTCCACATGACCCCAACGCCTTAGCTTTCAAGAATGCCTTAAAACTTTGACACCCACTCTAATGATTGATCCAGAGTTATTCAGGGAGGTCTATGGTTGAATTGGGCCTTGAACCTGGCTCTCCTGGTCTAAACATTATATTACACTGATTTTCACACGTTAAAACTATAACAAAAGAACCAATTCAGCTTTTTAAGGGTCAGTATTATATGTTATTCTGCCAATGAATTAGTCAGTATCATTGCTATTGCATGTGCTCCAAAATATTATTCAATGATGGGGAAATAATAATCATGCTCTCTTCTTTCATTATTTATTTATTTATTTATTTATTAAATTTATTGGCTGCCCAGTTACAATGCTTGCCCAATATAACTTAATATATCTTGTAATCAAGCAAACAGGTATTCTATTTTACTGAGTACTCTTTGGGCTTAATCATCAACTTTTTTGTAAAACAAATACTGATGTTGAATGTATAATAGAAGAATAAACTACTACATTATCCCTATTCAATTTATTTTAGAACACTATGGAGAAACCCAGTGCTTTTTTTTTACTAGCCATAATTTTATCTTGCTTGCCTGATAATTACACAATTCATTTTTATGATCAGAGGAAATCCTGCTGAAGTAGCTTTTCCCTTTTAAATGGTTCAAGGGTGATTTTATAGTCTTGCAATAATTTTTATTATTCAATTACTTTCAGAGAAAGATATTTAAAAAATATGAATGGCACCCATTACATTTTATCTCTTTGAGGAAGCATAGGATTTCTTTAAAAAAAGACTTAAGAATTTTTATCTGAAATAAATGCTAAAGTAGAATATGGGAACTTATGAATTACCCTCCTGGATCCTTTCAGTTCAACATCCTGTGAGCCAGGAAATCCATTTAGTTTTTTGGCCTGATTTAACCTTACCACCTGAGCATTTCAGGAATCCATATTCAAAACTGTTCAATGAAATACAGAAGCCCAGAAAATGTGCAAGTAAAATGGCCAAGACTCCTCAGTAAAGACTGTCCTCTAGTTAAGCTTTGCTCTTTTCTCTGAACGGCTGTTCAGCGCAATGTAATTAAGGTGCTGGATTAGGACCTGGGGAACCCAAGATCATATCTCCTGGCAGTCTTAGAAGCTCATTAGATGACCTTTAGACAGCCACTCCCTCTAAGACCAGCTTATCTCAAAAGGTTATCATTGTAGAGAAAATGGAGAAGAAACTGCTTACGCATTCTGCCTATGCTTCTAAAACTGTAATAGCTAGTTTAGTATAGCAGTTAAGGCATCAGCCTAGAAACTGGGAGACTGTGAGTTCCAGTCCCACCATGGGCATGAAGCCAACTGGGTAACCTATGGCCAGTCAATTTCTCTCAGCCCTATGAAGGAGGCAGAGGCAAACCACTTCTTTAAAATCTTGCCAAGAAAACGGCAAGGATTTGTCCAGGCAGTCTCTGAGAATTGGACATGATTGAACAGAAGGGGAAAAAAACTTTAAAGGAAAAATGGGATAAAAATCAAAAGAAGTATTAAGGTTAGTTGCATGTAGCCAGATGTTTAGGCTGGATTTGGCATTTTTATCCACCTATCAAGTCCTTCCCAAGGATCTGGGATAAGCAGATGTGTTGTTTGATGGTGTTAAAGGTATTGTTCCAAGATGTAAACTTCTTCAAAAAAAAAACCCTGCCTTTTGCAATTTTGTTAATGCCAATGATGTTCAAGTGGTGCTCCAGATGTTTTGGGATTGTAACCACGATGTCTATTACTATTGGTATTATCTTTGCTTTCTTTTGCCATCATCACTGTATTTTGTGATTTTCTCCAGCTCTTCCTCTTCTCTTCTGCTGTCTTCATATACTGCCACCTCCACTATCCAAACTTTTTTGCCTTTCTTATCAAAAATTGCTAAGTCTGAGGAATTATATGGCAGGTGTTTGTTTGTTTGAATTCTAAAGTCTCAGATCACTTTAGCATCATCATCTTCTATTGCTTTGTCTATTTTTGGTCCCGCCACTTCTTATGGGCAAGCTAATGGTATTTCTTGCAGATATTCCAATGCATCATTTTTGGTACTTTGTGATGCCATTATCTGTATCATTATTTTTTCAAAAAACAGTAAGAAAGGAGAGCACTGAGCCTCCATCCCAGTTAGCAGAAAAAAGAAGCACCCAGGTTCCTTGGAAATAAACTCTCTGACTAGAATATTTCTATTTAAAGACATGAAATCAACAGTAAATAATCTGCATCTATGTATTCTTCTGAGATGGATGGCTATATATATTTGATAAATGATGTCTCTGTGTACCAATAAAGGAGAATATTTGTAACTCAGTGTTGAAATGAGGAGTCCTTGATGGTCTCTGAGTTTGTTTTCTTGCAGACATTTCATTGCAGTCTAGCACTGATGATGTTACCTAGTTTGGGTAATGAAATCTCTGCAAGAAAACAACCAAGCTCAGAGAGCACCAAGGATCCTTGATGTGTGTACTCTAACATACATACATATGTACATATATACATATGAGTATGTACAGTAAGCTCTGTGTTATTATTTTTTCTCCTTGGCAACATCTTTCAGAACAGACGAATAAAAGTGCAGTCGTTTCATATAATTGATTCTAACCGGCAGACTTATTCTGAACTAATTAAAATGTGCAGGGTGTTTCAAAAGTTACTTCATAGCCTAAGGATAACCCTAACAAGACACTATAAGATCATTGTGGGTTATTTATCACACATTGTCCCATTAATACCAAATCACTCCCTGGCAGAGTGAATTGGATTGTTCTGATATGAAACAGACATCATAGATGGTTTCAGAAGTCTTGTATAACTTGTGTTTATACACATTTCAACTACTATGACATGCTGTAAGATTAGTGTATTGTTAACTAATGATAATAAAAATGTTATATGTGGGTGATTCTGTTTTTCATTTGTATTTATTTTATCTTTCAGACAATGCAATTTTTGGATGAGAGGTCTTATTAGAAGCAGTTTCTCTGCTGGAGTACTGAAGTTGTGTGCATTTTACCTAATTGAAAAAACAAGTGTGTTGTCTGTGTGTGTACGCATGTATACATACATACACAAATATTCATTTTTGAGAATGAACTTAGCTACAAGATTATGGTTGATTTTTAAAATGGATTTGCATGGATTATACAAAATAAAACATAGTATGATGAAATAAATGTCCTTCGTTTCAGAATTATTTTCTCAGTATTCCCCATAATAATCATATGAGGCTGGACAGTATCATTATACAATGCTGGTTTTCTTCAGGTTACTGGAACATACATTAAAAATTGGAGTCACAGATTACTTCTCAATTTAATGTATTATTGTGTTATTACACTATACAAGGCTATTCACATGATAATCTTCCCAAGTTTCCTTAAGGGCTATCTGCACTAGCTGCTACCATACCTGAACAGGATAATTTTTGACAGCTGAACTTTTTTTTTTTAAAGTCTGCTTACACTTACATTTTTTTTCTGTTCACTTGAGGTAAAATGAAAGAAGCTGAATGGTAGCATTTTTTAAAAAAAAATCACATTTCTACTAGGTTTTATTCTCTTCTATGCTACATAAAGTTTGGGGAATTGTGCTTTTTCAGCACTGATGAAAGATATAGAAATCAAAAGAGCTACCAAGATTTTATTTTAATTTTAAAGCTGGTTGTTGTGCTTGCCTATAATGTCTATATAAATTTTATTTTAGTTTGTATAGATGTATGTTTTTGTACATTTGTGCATGTGTGTGTGTGTGTGTGTATTTCACACAAAATATGTACGTGCACTAAGACCTGTCAGCAATAAGGTCATTGTTTTCCTGGTAGAAAAAGATGGGAAGGTAGAGCAACAGGAAAATTGTCCAATGGGAGAACACCGTAGCCTTCAGTTCTGAGTAGCTTGCAAGCTTGCTAAGGTGTCTCAGTCTGGATAAGGTTTTTTTAAATTAGTTTAAAGCCCAGCTGCCACAAGCAGAGGGTAGAAGCAGTTTAAACAATAAGTTCAGATTTGTCCTTTATCCGGTGGAAAGTAGCACAGGTGTCTCAAACTCCAGTTATGGGGGATAAACACACAGGGAGCAGAAGAAATGATCAGGCTGCTAACTCAAGCCACAAAGTAGGGTCATGGTTGGTGGTGAAGACTCAAAGGGTTTCTGGGAGGAGAAACTTCAGACCTTGCATTCCATTTATAGGCTTACCGATTCTTGTGGCTAAAACAAGACAGGGTAGAGAGTCAGAGTAAAGCCCCATTTCCTGCCTCCCATCCTCCCAATATTTTCACCAGAGGACATCTGCAATCCAGTTCACATTTTTTCAAAAACCTAATTATTTGAGCTTACTCTGTCCTCGCCGAGCACACCTAGTATTCAACTAATATACATTTCAGTGTAATGTAAAAACTACATTTGTATTTTTAGAGGTATGTAAGCCATTTAGCCTCAAGAAAAACTTTTGAACTACATTGAAACAAGTTCAAAGACTTTTCTGGACAGGAATCACATTCCTTTCATGCCAAAAATAGCCCTTTGAAGATAAAGTTCCTTCTGATGATTTAAAAACTTCTGATATTGTGATAGCAAAATGTTTCCAGCCTCTCAGATAAATTCCACTAAATGCTTACTTCTACACTGACCATCTCAGTCTTGTATATCAGTCTTAATGAAATGATTTGAGACTTGTCACTGAAAGCATAGCTGTTTTTTTATCCTTAGATACTGGCACAGTCATTGCTTCTTACATCTTACCTTCAAGTGCCTTCAGTCTTCTGGAAGCTGAAAGTGACCTTAAAAATACTAATCCATCTCCAGGGATAAATGAAGGTAAAAAAAATATGGAGGGATAGAATTCACATCTGTGGTATCTGAAGCCTACAGTCACAATTAGCAGTGCACATTAAGATACAAATTTGATGAAGGCTCTGCTGAAAGTTATCTTCCATGTAGTCTCTTTTCAGAACTACAGTTCCCTGGAGAAAGTGAATTGTTGTTATGCCAGTTGAGGTTTAGGTTCTGTGAAAACATAACTCCCATTGTTTGCCACAAGGCAAAAAAACATTTCCTGAGAACAAGATAGCTCTGAGTTTTAAGAAAATGTCATGTCAGGCATTCTCAAAACATTTTATCTCCATAAATATTATTTCTTGGAATGCAGAGAAACAAAAGGCATGTGCCCTAAATATTAGCACAATACTTAAGCCAAGAAAATCTTAATAGCAGAAATACAAACATTCTTCATTTATAATAGCCACCAGATTATTATTGTGCTTTTAAAATGAGGGTCAATAGATTCAACCAAGATAAGCAAAACCTTACTGGACCTCAAAACCTTAAAAGCTCTTTGAAACTACAATAACAAAGGCTTGTTAAACATGAGACAAGAAACCATGTTTAATATATGCCTCTAAATGTTTAGATTTCTACATTATTGATGCTTTTGGCTAGAAATAATATGTTGCAATTCTGTGTATGAACAGTAACGAAGTTCCTTATAGAAGGAAAATGCTATTGTCTGAATAATTTGTAGGTTTCTTTTTATATAAGATACTGGTTTCCATGTTTTATCTGCATTAAAGCAAAGCACAATTTATATGTGGCTATGCACTCAGAGCCTTGGCTGTTGTGGTATCACAGATCAATCTTAATCATTTCTCCTTTTGACATGTCACAAAATCTCATTTCAGCACAAAATCTCTCAAACTGTGAATGGCACAAAGTTTATCTGTATTCTGAAACATGATTGGGTATGAAAGGCAGGGCACCTGAGAGAGTCTGTCACACAAAGAAAAACTGAATGTGTTTTGTTTGGTTTTCCCTTAAGCACTAGTGCTTCTTAAAAGATTTTGTACATTGAATGTAGTCAGATGCATGAGTATTGTTATTTATCAGGCAGATTCTTATAGAATACTTAAGAGTAAGAACACTCAGATGACAATTAACAGCTATAGTGATACTGTGTTAATTAAAAGTGCTCCAGAAGTGCTCCACTTTGACAACTTTCAGAAAAGCAGTACTGTACTGTATAATCAGAGCAATCCAAAGCTCCTGCAGAAGGCTATTCCATAAAACATGCAATAGAAAAGCAACATCTCCTAGCCTTGGGTCTAATAACATGATAATGGAAGGCTATCAACTATTTTTCCCACATATATACTGGTGACATACTTAGTCTTATTGATAATTATGCATCTTCTATACCAAAGTATATTTATGTGTAATGAAATTGACAACATATGGACAGACTCAACCATAGTTTCAATTGGGAAACTGTGAGCACCCTAGACCAAGCTGGATCCAAAAAATATTAATTCCTAGAAGAATCCCTAGTCACAGAGATAAACCCACACAATGAAAAGTTAAGAAGGAAACAAAAAGACCAGAACACATCCTTTCCTGCAGCCAACATCCAGATAAGCAGGGATTAACACCATGCACACAAGCAGAAAACAATACCCTAATCAAGAAACTACCAAGGATAAAACCACATCCCCACCAAAATTGTCAGAGCAACCTAAAGATAAAGGTAAAGGTTTCCCGTCCAGTCGTTTGCGACTCTAGGGGGTGGTGCTCATTTTTGTCAAAGACATTTCTGTGGTCATGTGGCCTGCATGACTATACGCCAAGGAACACGGAATGCTGTTGCCTTTCCACCAAAGTGGCACCTATTTATCTACTTGCATTTGCATGTTTTCAAACTGTTAGGAGGGCAGGAGCTGGGGAAAGTAACAGGAACTCACCCCATGCTGTCACCTTTCTAGCTAACAAGCTCAGCATCTTTAACCGCTCAGCCATCATGTCCCCAGGGCAACCTACTATGC